CCAAACCCTTAAACCCCTAAACCCCTAAACCCTAAACCATAAACCCCTAAACCCTAAACCCTAAACCCTAAACCCTAAACCCTAAACCCTAAACCCTAAACCCTGCGCCTGCGTCCCTTCCTCCTTTAGCAAGCCTTGGCTCGTGCGCAGCCTGTGCTCGACCAGTTGCCTGGCAAGGAAGATTTTGGGTTTAGGGTTTAGGGTTTAGGGTTTAGGGTTTAGGGTTTAGGGTTTAGGGTTTAGGGTTTAGGGCTTAGGGCTTAGGGTTTAGGGTTTAGGGTTTAGGAAGACTTTGGTTCCCTTGAACCTTGGGGGCGAGTGAAGTAAAAGATTCTATGAAGGGTTCCTTTAAGACCTCCTTTACAGGCCTTCCCACGGTTTAGGGTTTAGGGTTTAGGGTTTAGGGTTTAGGGTTTAGGGTTTAGGGTTTAGGGTTTAGGGTTTAGGGGTCCCTTTAAATGGCTCCTGTAAAAGCCTTAAGCGTTCCTGAAAGGCTGCGGAAAAGGGGTGCCTTAAATGGGGTCAAGCAAGCTTCCAAGAGGGTTCTTTGAAGGGTCGGTTCCTTGAAGGTGCTGTAAGGGTTCCTCACAGGGCTTCCATCAGAGTTCCTTGAAGAGCTCTTTCAAAAAAAAAGTTGTTATTTCATGGGTTCTATAAGGGTTCCCTTGTTTTGGGCTTACGGCTTCATATTTAGGAAGGTCTTCGTCGTTTCAACATAAGCTCTGTCATCATAGGGTTCCCATGAAGGCCCTAGTAACGGACTCTTGAAGGGTTCTACAAGACTTCTTCGGGCTTGGGACTCTTCTAGTTCAGGAGCCCCCTACGAGTTCCTTTTACAAAGCTCCCTAAACCCTAAACCCTAAACCCTAAACCCTCAAACCCTGGACCCTAAAAACTCTAAAAACCCTAAAAACCCTAAAAACCCTAAAAACCACAAAACCCTAAAAACCCTAAACCCTAAGAGGGCTCAGCTCCAGTCTTGGAATCTTCAATTGAGTGTGTCACCCAAGACCTACCGGAACTCCATGCCTCGACCCTGCTGTTGAGAGATTCATCAGGAAACCGCGCGGGTTTGCGGGTTTAGGCCGAAACCAAAAGATACCACAACACCCCCTAAACCCCTAAACCCCTAAACCCTAAACCCTAAACTCTAAACCCTAATTAAACCCTAACACCCCCTTGTCAAAAAAGGCATAAGGAAAGGATCGTAGCCGCAACTGCGAAAGGGCTTGGAACTTCGGCCACAAAAACCCCGAAAGCAAGCTCCTTGCGTCCAAAACCCGCAAGCCCTTGAAGCCTGAACACCTATTTAGGGTTTAGTCTTCTGGCTTTAGGGTGTGGGGTTTAGGGTTTAGGGTTTAGGGCTTAGTCTTCCGGCTTTCGGCTTCGGCCTCAGGCTTTAGGTTTCTGCGTTTAGAGTTTAGTCAGGGCACTCTTTTTTCCATTACTCGGCTTCAATCAGGAGACCCTAAAATCAAAAAGGCCAAAGGGTACGACTAAAAGACCTAAACACAAAATGCCGGACGAGACCCAGTGAGTGATATCATAAGTTACTTGCACCCCGATCTTGAAACCAAAACTACTAAAGCCTTGTCGTAAAACCTCAACCCAACAAGAAACTTCACATGGAAGTTCGTCTGTTGCCGAACACACGAACATCAACGCCTGTGTTGGAACCAGCGCTCATGGAAGGCGTCCTATCAAACAGGGGAGGTTCAACAGTTCTGCACCCTTTGGGATGTTCGCTAATGTAGGGGCCTTAATAACAAGAATAGGGTTTTGGGGCATACTAGATTATAACTACATAAAAAAGGAAGCCCGAAAAATAATGTAGGTAAGTCTTAAGGCCCCAAATTTACACCCTAGACCCTGAACCTAGTTCTGAGCCCTTTATGATTTCGCCAAATAAGGCTTCTGCAGGTCCCCTCTAAGGGTCCAGGTGCCCAAACCCAAAGGCTCTAAGGAGTTCAGGGTTTAGGATTTAGGTGCCCGAACCCTAAGGCTCTAAGGAGTTTAGGGTTTAGGGTTTAGGTTTTTGGACAATTGCCATTGCCTCCAGCCCCAACCACTCAAACCCCCACAGTGCTGAACCGAATCAAGCCCAGAGACACATCCAAGTAACCCCTACGGGTTTAGGGTTTAGAGTTTAGGGGTTTAGGGGTTTAGGGTTTAGGGTTTAGGGTTTAGGGAAACCTTGTCATCAGTACACAACACCTGTCCACCCACATGAGCTATGGTCAATGAAAGGAGATGCCTCCCGAATGTCCATATGGAATCCTATGCGCGTCCTTCAATTTTCGCATGGCGCATTATCTCAGATTAAAACACCCCCCAGAGAGATTGTAAGCGAACCGTAAACCCAGCACCCTATGTAACCTTCATGAGAAACCCCCATGGAACCTTACAAATGCCTCATATGAATGGCCCTTAAAAGAAGGGACCCTACACCCTTGTACTTTAAACCCCTGGAGAACAAAAGCCCTTCGAACAACATGTCGCGATTCAGGAGGAAACCGCCAAAAACCTGAAGCCCTAAACCCCTAAAAACCCAGGACCTAGACCTCTAAGCCATAAATTCTGAACCCAACGCCTTAAATCCTAAACCCTTAGCCCCCGTAATACCAAAAACCCTTATACCTAAACCTTAAACCCTAAACCCTAAATCCTGAACCCTAAACCCTAAACCCTAAACCTTAAAACCTAAACCCTAAATCCTTAAATCCTAAACCCTAAACCCTAAACCCTAAAAACCGTTGTGTGTCCTGGAGCTCCTTCAGATCGGAGTCCTGATGCGCACGGCGGCTCGCGAGACATACTTTAGGGGTGTAGGGGGGTTGAATTAAGTTTGGGGTGTAGGGTGTTGGGGGTTAAGGGTTTAGGGTTTAGGGTGTTGGTGGGTTTAATTAAGGGCCTAGGGGTGTAGAGCGTTTGGGGTGTAGGGTGTAGGGGTGTAGAGAGTTAGGGTGTAGGGATTTAGGGCTCAGGGTTTAGAGAGTTTGGGGTGTAAGGGTTTATGGGTGTAGGGGTGTATAGAATTCGGGTGTAGGGATTTAGGGTTCAGGGTTTAGAGTTTAGGGTGGTAGGGGCTTCCAGCTTGGGCGTTTAGGGGTTTAGGGTTTCGAGGAATAGGTTTCCGATTTTGTTGAAGGGATTCGGCTTAAGGGGTTCAGGCGTGTCAGTGTTACCTGAACCCCAAAATTTGGGTTTTAGGGTTTAGGGTTTAGGGTTGGGCCCCAAATAACATACCTTTTTCCAGGGCTTAGATAAGGAACGCTGAACCTCCACGGAAAAACCAACGGCACACTCAGATAACACTCACCAGGTGAAAGCTTGTGGAGTTTGCGTAGACGGCTATCTTCTTGGGCAGCCGGCACTTCATCCCTCTCACAACGAAAACTGTCACGGGACGAGGCCCGTGATCACACCCATCACCAGATCATGGGCAGGTTGGCTGAAGGCACCGGATGATGCCGGTGAGACCTCGCATGTCATCAGACATCTGCGGCGGCTTTGCTTTCGCCAGGTGGACCAACCACATCAGGTCGGGCGTGGACGGGCTTTCCAGTTCATCGAAGTGAAGGTGCCATGTCGTCTACGACCGACGGAGAAAAAGGACAAAAAAAGCTAGCCGTTATTTGTAGTAGGCGAACCGCATAACCAAATCTTGTGTCATGGCGGCTCGTCCAAGCGGTGGCCTCAGCGTAGAACCAGTGCCACATGGCTTCACGGTTCTATTAGACAATCGTGTGGCGTGAGTGACCCGGCCCTGAAAGCGTGCCCAAGATGTACAAATCAGGGATGCCTATAGTATCCATAGTAATTCCTTTTTTGGTTCAACCAGTCCTACACTAAGGATCCTAGCCTAAAAAGTAACTCGCAAAAAGGAACTAGAATGGAGACTATAGGTAACTACCTATGGAGCACACCACCACTTGGCTTTCGCCTGACGGGGCTGCCTGGAGCGGTGTTGGGACTTGTCATATTCAAGCCTCACGGCTTTTGGCTTAGGGTTTAGGGTTTAGTATAGACCCAGACCGGCCAAACCCCCGCAGACAAGAGTCAACATCAATTCTAAAGGGTACTACCAGAGAACCTACTATAACACCCTTGTAAGACCGTGACCATGCATTAGTCCATAGACAGCACATAAAATTCGAGGCAAGGGATTTGAAATCTTAAAATCTTAAACTGTGACGTTAAGCACAAAGGGTTACGGGTTAAGGGAGTTTAGGGCTTAGGCTTTAGGCCTTAGGGTTTAGGGTAACCCTCAACCTTCAAATCTACAATCCTACACACTAAGCTTCCCTAAACCCTCAAACGCTGCAGCACTCACATAATGGCAGCCTGAATGACAACCAGCAGCCGAATCCCCATGATGTCCCTCATTCTGCTTATACTACTGATACGGTTGATGATATAAATCCTGCACTACCCATATTAAGGAATATACCAGAATTCCCATAGGTTAGGGTCCTTAAGGTAATGCAGGATATGTATCACCAACAGTCTTGATACACTCCCAGAGCCTATATGCTAATCAGTAAGGACAGAATCCTTATACTCACGAACCCTTTTAAGTGTAAACCCGTCTGAGTCTTAAGGTGTACTACCGAGGCCCCGAACACGAAACCCTACAATCCTCAAATTCTTAAGGCTTACATACCTCCCTATCCCCTACAGTGAAATTGCACATGCAACCCTAAAACCCTAAACCATACAGCTCTAGGTCCTGAGCCCCGAAGCTTCTGCTAAGGGTTTAAGGGTTTAGGGTTTATAGGGTTTAGCGTTTAGGGTTCAGGTTTTAGGGTTCAGGGTTCAGGGTTTAGGGTTCAGGGTTCTGGATTTAGGGTTTAGGGTTTTAGGGTTCAGGGTTTTTGGGTTCAGGGTCTTAGAGTTCAAGGTTCAGGGTTTTAGGGTTTCAGGGTTCAGGGGTTTAAGGGTTTAGGGTCTTAGGGTTTAGAGCTTACTTCGGGGGAACCCACAGGGCTGGGAGCCCCCACTCCGGTGTGCTCGACGACAATTAAGCCCAGCTGGAAATCCTGCTGTCGGTTTAGGGGTTTAGGGTGGTGGGTTTGGGGTTTAGGGTTGTGGGTTTGGGGTTTAGGGTTTGGGGTTTGGGGTTTAGGGTTTAGGGTTGTGGGTTTGGGGTTTAGGGCTTAGGGACACCATGTAGTCTCAACACCGATGATGGGTTCGAAGGTACGGAACTGGGGGCGGGGGTGCGTCTGGGAGTCTTGTGTAGCGTTTCCATTGGGTGAGGCTTTTTGGTCTTAGGATTTGGGGCTTAGGGGGAGTTAGGGCCTTGGGGGTTCCTACATGTGCGCTTCTTACTTAAAGCCCTAACTTTGAACAACAGGATTTGGTTGTACCTTGGCCCCTGGAGAGCTCGAGGACCTTTGGTCCTAAGTCACCAGGTCCTAGACGTTGTGGAATTTGCCCTCGGGCTCTAAGGACTCAGTTTAGGGTTTAGGGTTAAGGACTCACATTCTAAGGCTTTGTTAGAGGAAACTACAAGTGGGGAGCTTTTGGTATATAGGGCTTCTATAAGGCTTTTGTAAGGTAAAACGACCTTCTATACGGCTCCTATAACGGTAACTACCCACCTGAAAATGTCCTAGACTTTTGGGCCCAAAGACCATACTACATAGGGCTTTTGGGCTATTTTGCGCTGTAGGGTTGGGCTGTCTGAGTCCCTGTTCAGAAACTTCAGCGAAGGCACCAGAATCAGGGTTTACCGTAAGTGCCATGCTATGCTTTCTTTATTATGGTAGTGCAACCTAAAGTCCTCAACCCTAAACCCTAAACCTAAACCCTAAACCCTTAAACCCTAAACCTAAACCCTAAACCCTAAACCCTAAACCCTAAACCCTAAACCCGAACACCTAAACCCTACACCGAGGATTTGTATAGGGGGTTGCGGGACTCGGCACCTGGAGCTCCACGCCACGCGCAAAGGTCTCGTCATTGAACATTTCCTTCCAGGAGAAAACGGTTTGGGCGTTCTGGTTTATAATGTGCATAGTGGCACCTTAATACTTCAGGGTTTGGGGTTAACCTTAATACTTCAGGGTTTGGGGTTTGGGGTTCAGTATTCAGAGAAGACGGCCAGGGCTTCCACGATTAACATACGTAGCGTTTCAACGATTGACATAGGAGATGATATAATATAATATCTAATGGTATACAGCAGCATGTGTTTATAGTGACATAAAGGAATTACTCGGAGGTGCTGTTCATGCCAAATTTTCGGACTGGTAGACGGGTTTCTGGCTGTTAGAGTTTAGGGTTTGACGTTTGGTGGGTTTGGGGTTTCAGGTTCAGGACTTCTCGAGATCTCTGAAGCTAGCATTACTGAACTACAGAACTGACATCTCTGTGTGTGTGTGTGTGCGCGCGCGCTCTCTCCGGCTCTGCGACGCGGTGCCCTCTGAATCCCCGAACCCAAAACCTACAGCCTACTGCGAGTTCAGCACAGCCAGCAATGAGCACAGCACGGCCTGCATCAGTGGCTCCACCCGCTCCTTTTGTCAGTGTTTCGGCTCGTGAGTTCAGATTCAGGGTGCACATGAAGTCCTCATTGGGTTTAGGGTTTAGGGATTAGAGTCTAGGGTTTAAGGCTTTAGGTTTAGGGTTTAGGGTGTTAGGGTTTAGAGTTTAGGGTCCTCATTAAAGGAGGCGGTGTTAAGCCCGATGCGCTGTACCCTCAGCTATACAGTACATAATTGCGGAAACTTAGACAGGTGCGTTCAGTGTGATTTAGGACGGGCTTAAGGGTACAGAACCTAGGTTCCTGTAGCCCGAGATCTTTAACCCTAAACCCAGAAACTCCCAATCCCAAAGCTAAAACATGAATCCCCCCCGCAGCTCCCAAAGAAGATGTTGTCTCCAAGTTGAGGTATTCAAGCGTCTTTGACGGAGCTGCTGTTCATGGAAACTGCCGGAGTGGGCTTCAACACTTAGACTTTGGTCATTTAGCCGCCTGAACAATGAAAAGACGGTGGGGAGTATATATGAGTAAAGAAGCATGCTTCTATAGGACTCTACATACGGGAATTTAGTATGACACCCCAACGCGTAAACACACAAACCCATATAATGTAGGGGTCTTAATAAATAGAATAGGATTTTTGGGTATATTAGACTATCAACATAATATGAAACCCCACAACAGTATTGGTAATTCTTGAGGCCCCTGTATTACATAATACCCGAATGCCCCCAAACACCTAAGATCCGAACATAAAGCGCCCGCAACCCTCAAACCTTAACCCCTAAACCCTGAACCCTAAACCCTAAACTCTAAAACCCTAAACCCTGATAGCCCTCAAGCCTTAACCCTAAACTGCTAAACTAAAACCCAAACATCCAAAACACTAAACCTTAGGCCCTAAACCTAAAACGCTTGAACGCCTTAACCCGTAAACTCTCTATAAACCTTAAGCCCTAAAGCTTTGGATCCCAAGCCCTGAGTCCTAAATTCCTAAACCCTTTAAACCCTAAACCCTAAAGCCCTGAACCCTGAAGCCCTAAAGCCCTAAACCCTAAAGCCCTACACCCGTAAGCCCTAAACCCTGAACCTAATCCGATGCAAGCGGCGAAGCTGCTGAGCATCTTCGTCTGGGCGACCCGACCTGGGACTTGACGGACGTAAGGTTTAGAGTTGAGGGTTTAGGGTATCGGGTTTAGGGTTTAGGGTATAGGGCATAGGGTGTTTTATCCGTTTAGGGTTTAGGATTTTCGGGTCTAATGTTTTCGGGTTTAAGGTTTTAGGGCTTAGGGTTTAGTGCTTTAGGTTTTAGGGTTTCGGGTTTAGGCTTCAGGGTTTCGGGGTTCAGGGAGGCAGGAGCTAAGATTTAGGGCTTAGGGTGCAGGGTTTAGGATGTAGGATTGTAGGGCTTCGGGGTGTTGGGGTTCGGGGTTTAAGGCTTAGGGTTTCAGGCGCAAGATGTAGCTTTTAGGGGTTAGGGCTTAGGGTTTTAAGGCTTAGGGTTTAGGATTTAAGATTTAGGATTCAGGATTTAAGCGTTACGAAAGACTGAGCTTAGTAGGACATGAGAAACGGGTTTACGTGTCAGGCAGCAAGTCGTGCAAGTTTCCAAGGCTGGTGATCCTCGGAACGAGGTCGAACAACACCATGGCCATGATCCTGTCCATCTTGCTCCTGACCGGGTTTAGGGTTTAGGCTTTAGGGTTTAGGGTGCAGGGTCTAAGCAAGTCCGATCTCAGGGAAGAAATGTCCACCACCGTAGAAACGATGGTTTGCTGCAAGTATCTTAAGCTCCCTGCTCTATTGGAGGAGGTCTTCCTCTGGGAGAAGATGCTGAGGAAGATCATCGTCTTCAGTTTCTCCTTCTCTTCCATGTTCCACATGTTGCCCTTGGTCATGGAATTCCAGGCTTTCACAGTGGAGACGAATCTCTTCATTCCGGTCATGAAGATGTTCAGGTCTGGCAGCGTGAGGCTCATCCACCTCGACATCATCAAGGTCTCGTCCAACATGGCGAAGTCAACGTCCTCGTTGATGAAAGTATTCCTGTTCTGCGCATCCCGTTCTGGGGAGCTGTGTTCGTGCAGAGTCTGGGGTTGTACTACTACTGTAATACTACCGTACTCCTACTGTACTACTACCGCACTGCTGCTTTACTACTACTGCACTGGGGCTTAAGGGTCTTTAGGGTCCAGTGTTTGGTTTTGAGTCTTGGGATTGGGGGTGGACTTAATGGCTTTCTACCAAAGCCAGCAAAGCCCTTCTCCAGAATCCGCTTTACACCCGCAGAGCATACAGGGGCCGTCCTACTCAGAACAACGTTTCGGGGGGTATAGCATGCTATAGTTGCCCTAACCTCCAGACCCTAAACCCTAAACCCTAGACCCTAAACCCTAGACCCTAAGCCCTAAACCCTAGACCCTAAAACCCCAAACCCTGACCCTTAAACTCTAAAGAAACACTTTGAAGGTCACCGACCCAAAGAAAATCTGAAAGAAACCCGGAAGCCTCCAGAAAGGGTTTAGGCTTCCGGGCTTCCGGGCTTGGGATGTACGGTTTATGGGTTTGGGGGTTTAGGGTTTATGGCCTGGGGTTTAGGGTTTAGGGTTTAGGGGTTTGGGGGTTTAGGGTTTATAGGGTTTGGGGGTTTCGGGTTTTTAAGGCTTGGTAGAAAGCTGGAACATCATGATGCAGCCTGACAGTGGATCAACCCCCCTCAGACCCTTAACCCTAAACCTCAAACCCTAAAGCCGAAACCCCCATGCCGAAGCCCCAAGACCGAGACCTTAAGAACTTCAAACACTAAATTCTGAGCCTTAACCCCGAGCCCTGAACCCTCAACCCTTAACCCCTGAAGAACCCGAAACCCCAAAGCCCTGAACCCAAAACCCCCTAAACTCTAATCCCTAAGCCCTAAACCCTGAACCCTAAAACCTAAACCCTAAACCCTAAACCCTAAAACCCAAAACCTAAAACCTAAACTCTAAACCCTAAACCAGAACAACTTGCGGCCCCAGGAGCGGTTGAAGGTCTCAAACGTCTTGGACTGACAAGGGATCTCTACATTTTCTAGAGCTTCGGCTTTGCGTTTCGGGCTTTGGGCTTAGGGTTTGGGGTTTAGGGTTTTGGGCTTACCCTAAACCCTAAACCCTAAACCCCAAACCCTAAACCTAGGGTTAATGGTTGTGGGTTCCGGTTTATAGAGTTTAGTGCTTAGGGTTGAGGGTTCGGGGGTTGGAAGGCCTAAGGTTTACGGCTGAGGGTTTAGGGTTTAGGGTTTAGGGTTTAGGGTTTAGGGTTTAGGGTTTAGGGTTTAGGGTTTAGGGTTTAGGGTTTAGGGTTTAGGATTAGGGTGTTTAATTATGACAGTATGACTACCTTGGCTCGAGTGAAACCAACGCTGTCGCAAGCCCCCATTGAAGTCTCTCGGTTAAAGGTTTAGGGCTTTTCAGGGTTTAGGGTTTAAGTGTATAATGGCAACCTACGAATACAAAACCCAAAATATGGAATCGCAAGGTAGGGCTGAGGGTTTTGGATTCAGGGTGTTGGTCTGTACTTGGAGGCTCAACGTAATAGCGAGTAGGGCTCCAAAGTTGCATTAGGTTGTGTAGCGCCCGAGAGGCGATGTTCAGGGCTCGGATCGCAAAAACAGGTATCTGGCTTTTTACACTACGCCGTCACTATGCATCAATAACAAGTCACATCGCTTCCTTGGCTTCCTGATGGCTTTCAGCATCAGACGCATGTCACCCAAGCGAAACTGCAGGGCCCTGAGGTCCTCCTCCTGAGTTTCGAGCGCCGCCTCCATGGTGCCAATTCCGTGCGCATCTACGGCTGGGCCGTGCCGGGACAATCCTCGGCATCATGTACTGAGGCGCCTTCGGGCCATCCTCTTTGACCTCAGCCTGCAGCGTCAGCTCCTCGGCCTGCTGGCGGAGCCGCTGCAGCCGCTCTGCCAACATGTCAGACTCGCTGTCCTCCTGTGAGCCTCCTCAATGGTGGTAGGCAGCAGCGTGGGCACCTTCGGCTGCATCCCAAAACCTCAAAACCCACGGCACTTTCCGCGGTTCGGCATCGACTTGACTGAAAAGGCTAGAGAGTTTAGCATTTAGTGTCTAGGGTTTAGGGCGCACAACGAAGCCCCGAAGCTCTAGGCGCCAAAATCCTGAACGGGGGAATGTACAACGCCCGGGAACGTTCAGGGCTTTAGGGTACGACCTGAAGAGTCGAGAACCCTAGGCCTTACGAAAAGCCCTGATAGGTTTAGGGTTTAGGGTTTAGGGTTTAGGACCTTAAGGCCCTTGTGCCCTAAACGCTAAACCGTAAATCCTAACCCGAAACCTTCAGACCCTTGCAGAAACCTTCTAGAGATCCCAAAGAACACCAGCAAAAACACCCTACAAAACCACAGCCGACTCTGGGATGAGGGTTTAGGGTTTTGGCGTTGTGGAGTTTAGGGTTTTGGGGTTCAGTGCTTTAGGGTTTTAGGGTTTTAGGGTTAGGGTTTAGGGTTTTGGGCCCCTGCCTTTTTCTTCATCTTGGCTTTGGACCTCGGTGACATGTCAACGGCTTCCTGTGGCTTCTCATCCGCCCGGCATCTGCTTAGGCTCGAACCTGGACCCTCTCTCTTTTGTTTTGGGGTGTAGGGTTTAGCGCTGTACGGCTTAAGGTTTAGGGTAGACCCAGGGTTTTTGAAAAGGGTTCTGTCCAATGGTTCTATCAGGGCTTCTATGAGACTTCTATCGGGTTTTTCGAGGTCAGGGTTTGGGGTCCTTTGCCTTCTCCTGGACAACCTAGTTTTGTGGCTAGGACCCGATGAAAGGCAACTCAGGTGTAGGTTGTTCGGAGTTTATACTGCTTCTCTTACTTCCATCGGCTCGCTCTCTGTCTCTCTCTCTCTCTCTCTCTCTCTCGCTCGCTCGCTCGCTCTTTCTCCGTCTCTTTCTTTCTCTCTACACCCAGTGCCTAGACTCCAAATCCCAAACCCTAAACCCTAAGTGGTTGCAAAACTTCGACTTCTTCGTCCAAGGCTCATATCTCGATCTCGGAGAGCCTTCACGCCGGCCGAGATCACATCGCCTTCGCTGGGGCAAGGGCTTACGATTTATGGGGTTTCAATAGGACTTATACAGCATTCATAGGGCTTTTATAGGGCTCAAAAAAGGTTGAGGTTTATGCACGACTTAATTATAGGGCTTATATAGGGCGTATCAGGCTTATATAGGGCTTATATAGCATTTATAAGGCTTCTTGAAGCTTATGTGGCTTACAGGGTTGAAAGGGTTGCGTTCAGGGTACTTTAGATGACGTTGCCTGGGGCGATTGCTCTAGGTTTTGTACTGTAAAGGAGAGCGATGTGGGGTTTGGGAGGTCCAGAGTGCTGGAAGGAAAGTTTAGAGCGTAGGGTTCTATAAGGATTCGGAGAAGAAGACAATCCTATAAGATGTTGGGGTTTAGTGGTTTAGATCTGTTGAGACAATAAAACGCAAAACACTTCGTCACGGCCTCTACGGTCTCGGGTTTAGTAACCCTGAATCCGCAAACCGACCGCCTACAGTGTACCGAACCTGACACCCGAAACTCTTAAACTATCTCTCAAATCCCACACGCTCTGACCCGAGGGAACTGATTTAAATCCCAAGAACACAGATCAAAACCCTTCAACATATGCTGAGGAAGCCCCTTGAAGCCAAAAATATCTGTCCCTCACCTTTGTAAAACCATGCAGGACCGTGAGCCTATTACGGCTAATGAAAGCCCAGAGCAAAACCTGCGAAGTAAACCCTGGAAGCTGGACGAACCCGCTAAGGGTTTAGGGTTTAGGGTGTACTTTGTCTAACGAGATGATTCATGACCTTTCAAAAACACTATACCACCCTATACTCTTTGTTCAACTCCAAACGCCTTTTGATACCTTAACAACAACCCCTATCAGAAGCCTATGAAACCTGACCGCTGTTTTAGATAGTCTTACTAAAACCAACAATTCCCAGATGAAATCAGGTCACTCGGCTTCCTCACCCAATTCTAAGCCGCAACCCCTAGACCCTTACCCTGATTTTCAAAAGGAACATGTCCAGGAGCCGATAAAAGACCCGTACTAGACAACCCTATAAAGACCCCAAAGAAAGAGTAATCAACAAAAAACACGTTAACACGTTCAACACTCCTTAGCCCAAGCGTCGAAGGCGTCGGACGCCCGTCGCCAGAAGCTCCCACGCCGCCGTCCTCCCATAACGGCGCTTGTTACACGCGTGTGTGTGAACTGTTGTTATTGTTTGCAGCGGCTTACAACAAATCGTGGCAACTGCTGCTGCCGTTTTTAGTCACTATACTGGTAGTTCTCTAAATTAGGGTCCAAAGGTTACGACAGCCGCGGCCCGCTGACAACACACAACTCCCGTTCCCGCCCCGCGTCATCCCAACCACCCGAAACCCTAAACCCCAACCTCCGCCCACCCCCAACTCCCTCCAAAATAACCTCGTAGAGACCCAAGAAGTAATCACCCTAAACCCTTAAACCCCTTACCCCTAAACCCTGAACCCCTAAACCCTAAACCCCTAAACCCCTAAACCCCTAAACCCCTAAACCCCGAAACCCTAAACCCAAAAGTAATCTCCTTTCGGTCGCGATCGTAGACATCCGATTTCGGACGTCCGGAGCTTGAGTCTTGGCAACCTGCGCCTGCATTTGGGAAAACTTATCTAATATAGGGCCCTCAATAGTTAGACTAGGCTTTATAGGGTTCCCTTACAGGGTGATAAGGGTGCCCTTTTTCCTACTGTTTGGTTTTAGTAGGGAACCCAAAAAGAAAAAGTGAAAAAAGGGTACTACTGGGGAACCTAGAAGTATGACAGCAACCCTAAACCCTAGACCCTAAACCCTAAACCCCTACACCCTATACCCTAGATCCTAAACCCTAAA